TCAACCTCACAGTGATTCGATTCAATTAAGATTCGTTAGGAAATGATTCAATGCATCATTAAAATGGGCCATGATTCCACATTTTTTTGGCAATTTCCTCTCCCTCCCCCCCCCCATCTTTCTCTCACCCCCTGTGTGTGTTTTCTCTCTCCACATGATGTGTGTGTTTATCTATTAATGTTCTTCAGTGTTCTCCTCTCTCTCTCTCTCTCTCTCTCTCTCTCTCTCTGTCTCTCTGATATTCATCCGTGCGCTTTAGATCATTTTTGATCTCATCTCAACTTTATCATGATTTCATTCTATTATTTTGGCTCAATTCTGAATGCACCAACGTGTCTGGAGGAACTGTTACTCCTTAGTGGAATACAGACAAGAAATACAATAAACCAATATTTTTTGTGGATTTTTATATTCGAAATAACCCAGTAATTTTATTTTGAGCCAAAAAAAATGAGTGCATACTTTTTGAAATGTTGTTCTAATTCCCATGTGTCAAACACGAGGCCCGCGGGCCAAGACAGGCCCGTGACACAGTCCAATTCAGCCCACAAAATTATTTTAATTTTCTATTCTAATTAGCCGGTTTCACCATGAGATGCACTACAGTCCCCAGGATGCAGTGCAACATGTGTACATTCTGACCCCCAACAACAATCTCTGGGTCAGCAGTTACACAAAAAAGAAAACGTCTGGTGTCGAGTTCAAGCAAATAGGCAGTTTCAAAAAATACCTAAAACAATTTATTTTTATTTGGAATTATTTTTGAATATGTACTTAATAGTTTTGGCATATTTTGAATAAACAGTGGCCCATTCAGATCACGGCAGAATGTTAAATAAACATGTAGTAAAAACACAGCTGGCCCACAGATTTGCTGAGATTTTTAATGCGGCCCTTAGCGTTGAGTTTGACGCCTCTGATCTGATTCTAATCGATTCTGGCATTTCAACACTGATGCAGTTGAATCACCACCTTCAGATCAGCGCATCAAAACGAGACAATGAAGACGAATGATTTCCCCCAATTCAGCAAAGTTTCTGCATAATGAGACAGTTACGCTGTAAACAGAGTGAGGCCTCTGCTGTCAAGGACCAATAAGGCACCTACAGTTTGCCAGTTTGACTTTACTGAACCGTTCAGAGGGACAGTGTTTGATGGTCAGATGAGAGCAAAGTAGGTGGTGGAAAAAAACTGTGGGGCTGTTTTTCTTCCAAAGCCCTGGACAGTTCATTCAGATACACAGTCTCACAGACTCCATCAAGTAAATAAAATCAAAACCTGACTGTCTCAGCAGGAACTCTGAACTGGGCCATAGTTTGATCTTCCAGCAGGACAATCATCCAAAGCACGCTTCAAAATCAACAAAAATATGGTTCACTGACCACATAATTAAGGCCCCCTGACCTAAACCCCTTAGAAAACCTGCTGATGAGCTGAAGAGGAGAGTCCACAATGTGGAGCTCTGAATCTGAAGGTTCTGGAGAGGTTCTGTATGGTGAGTCTCAGATCTTTGCCACGCGTTCTTCAGCCTCATTAAGCGTTATAGGAGACTCAGGGCTGTTAACTGCAGATTTAGGTTTCTTTTCAATCACTGTACAACATTTTGAACAAAAGATCAAAAGGATAAGCAATAAAAATGTTTTTTACAGCCTGTTTTGGGTGCCGATATTTGTCAAGAGCACCATATATACAGCAGAAACACTGTTTATCATAGTTTGAAATAAGGTTCACTGGTGGTTTGGATAGTAAATAAATGGCTATATCTGTGTTGTAAGACATCAGCATCCTTGGTTTCTATCAGCACTATAAAGAAATCAGAGTCGCTAAGTTTCTCTACAATAAACCATTTCACACACAAAACACTCAACAATCAAATGTCAACGATTGAACTTTGAGGAAATTTTGAAAAATTGGTGCAATTTCCCTTTAAGCTGATTCTCTTCTTACGAAAAGTAATCACAGCCACACACACACACCCACACACACACACACACACACACACACACACACACACACACACACACACACACACAAACATCCACAGAGGGGAAGCAGGGCATGTCTTAGGATTAAAAAAGCAAACAGCGTTAAAAAAAAAAGAGTGTGTGTGATTCGGGTTTCTTGCTGCAGGGAAAGTGCGGTTGCAGTTACGTACACACACACACACACACACACACACACACACACACACACACACACACACACACACACACACACACAGCATTATGTTGCTCTTTCACTTTGCACATTTTGCACCTTGCACTTTACTTCCCACAGTGCCATGTGAACACTGCACATTTCATATCTTCATGGTGTTTATATAGCGTAAACTTCATAGACGGATATTTTGTTGTATATTTCTCTACAATATTGTTCTTCTGTTTAACTGCTGTTTCTTATTACCTTACTGCTTCATGTGAGTGGGCAGTTAACCAAGCATTTCACTGCTAGCTGTACCGTGTATGACTGTGCATGTGACCAACAAAACTCTGAAACTTGAAACACACAGGGATTAGAAAAATACAAGATCATTATTCTGGTATTTGCTATGTTTCATTTTAGAAAGACAGAGAAAATTTACAGGCTAACAAATCTGTGAAACAGCAGTTTTGGTCATATTTGCTGGTATAGTAAAGGTCAGGGACTCCGCAGCTGCAGCTGACCGTCACTGAAGGCCGCCTTCATTTGAAGAGCATCAACTGCCTTCAGTGTAATGTAACTGACCAGTGGTGAAATACTGACTTATGGAAATTCCCCCTCCATATAACACAGTTTATACCTTCTTCTCTCCTAACTGCACAAACACATATCATCTCATCATCAGCTGAGAAGCTCTGAGATTAGATTGTTTTTGCTTCTGTCATAAACGCTTGGGTTCACAGCAAATCTCTTATTTTTGGACTCAGATGTTGTTGTTATTGTTGTTTTAGTGGAAGTGCTTTCAGCAGAGAAAACACAGAAATGTGAAAAGAGCCCATTGGTCAGCCCAGAGAAAAGGCTCATGACGTCGGCTACTCGGCCGCTTGGAGTTGAACCTCCTTTTTAAACTCTGGGCTCTCAAAGTGCCGTGCCCAACAGACAAAGGCGTCTCTCCCACTGAAAACATTAGAAAAAAGGCACCTCGGCCCTCAAAAAACACATCCAGAGGGAACGCAGCGATCCTCGCTCATGTCTGTTGATGTTTGTGTAGATGTGGCCGTGTGGTTAATGAGGCACAGAGACCCTGTTGATGTGATTGATTTTCCTCTGGTTTTATATGAAGCTTATTTCATTTAATAGTCTATTCAGGATCTTAACTTTATGTAGTAGTTATTTATTTACAGTGATGGTTAAAGCTTTGTAGCGGTAAATTACAGCATTCCTTAATCTGTGTAGATATTCATAAAGATTAACGTTATCACCTTACTACACGAACCTGAAGTCGGCTTCCTATTCGCCAGCCTCTTGTTCGAATCTTCCCGTTCCACCTTAAATGGTGCAGCTTCAGACACCAGAAAGTCACTGCTGCACCATTTAAGGTGGAACAGGAAAACTCGAACAAGAAGCTGGCGAATAGGAAGCCGACTTCAGCTTCGTCCTTCTTACTGTGTTTTGGGGGTTTATTTCATGTTTATGTGCATTAAGATTAAAAGTGATTCACACATTGATGATTTGCTGATGTGTCTGATTGTGTTTCTCGCACTAAACTCGGTTTTTAACGTCAGGTGCAGACTGAATACTTTCCTGCTGGTCTTGACGACTAATAATCACGATCAGTTATTAAAGTAATAAAAGCTACTGAGAGCAGATCCGAGCAGCCCGGATTAATCTGTGTCTGAGGATTATAACTAAACAGATTTGGTGAAAATCAGTTGAGTAATAAGGAAGTTGTGGCTGATTTAATCCTGAGACTCATCGTCTCACAATACAAGTGAGTTTGTTCCCAAGCAGATCTTGACCTCTCCAACATGGCGGACGCGCAGACGTATCGCCTCAGACAGAGAACAACAGACAAAATGGCATCTAGGAATGTAGATCTATGTGGAAACTCAGACAGTCCCCCATACGAGGTGTGGTGGTCAATACTGGGGGACGACCATCATCCTTGCAGTATTAGTGTGAATAAACACAAATGTCATTATTGAAAAATCTTCAAATAAATTTTGGACATTAATCTCCAGATATATTTCTCCTGAAAAACACTAATTTGGGTGAGTAAAGTGTTTAATCTATTATAATCTGCTAATACGACATCATAAACAGACAGGCCTGCAGGGTGGAGATCGGGCAGTGTGGTAAAATGCAATGCAGTGTAGGCATCCGTGACACCAGTGCAATCGCACGGTGCAAACTGAGCAGGGGACACAGACCAGGGGAGAAACACGCAACCCCAAATTCTCAGCTACGTGTCAAGCAAATGCTGATTGGCTATTCATAGTACTGGGGGCAGTCGAGACCCAAAAATCATCGCCCCAAACCAGAACTAACACAAAATCAAACAAAGCAGTTCAAGGATCGGCACATGTATTATGTGGGCTAGTGGGATAAGAGACCATATAAACACACTATAACTACAAATACAATAAACAGACTATAAACACAGAATAAACCAGACACACAGTGAACCGGTACAGACAGTGAGCACAACACACAAAATATGAGCAGCATTCGCAGAGCATGTTCAGTATGCAAATTATTCAGTAAACAATGACATGAATGTTGGTTCAAAAACAATATGACGTCAAAATATTACAAAACCTATGAAACGCATTCATTCTAGCAGAGAGAAAGAAAAAATGAGAGAATTTCCTCTTCATATCTGCACATTATGCAGTTCGTGTTTCGTGCAGCTATGCTGGCGGACACCTGTGGAACGTCTGTGTGGCTGTGAGTGTTTCGTGTTCAGAGCTATAAACAGTGCAGCTGTACCTGCTTGGCGGTTTCTCAAAATCCACATCCAGGCACCGATCATACGAGCCGATAAAGATCTCCAACCACAGCCTCAGATAATCAGGATCCCTCTGAGAGAGAGAGAGAGAGAGAGAGAGAGAGAGAGAGAGAGAGGGAGAGAGAGAGAGAACTTTAAACTTCTCTGTTCTTGTGCTCTGTGAAGAGTGTAAAACAAATAACACCTTAATTCGGTCTTTGATGATGTGTTTCTCGCTCCTCTGTGAACAAAATGTTTTCCCAGTGATGATCTTATATGTAAACGTGGTCACTGTGTGATGCTGAAGAGCTCAACAATGAGCAGTGAGACTCTACCTGCTCGCCTCTTTAATTTAGTTTATGCTGAGTGTCAGATACTCACAGATGTTAGCAGTAAACAGTTGTTTATGTTCATTTATCGCAGCTGTTTGGCCCAAACATGGACACTTTTAATAGACAATCGAGGAACATATTCTTTACTTTAGACGTTACTGACGTCTTCAGTTAGGATTTAACCCAAAGTCTGTCTCTGAGTACTACTGGAGTCAGTTAGCCATACACACTGTTTTTAAAAGATTCCCCACAAGAGGGCGCCATTAGCACTCAAGTAGCACATTATTAGCTAGGTTTCCATCTCCTTTATGTGTTTATTGGAAGTGCTAAAATGAAAATCCATTATTTTATTTATTCTTTTTTTAAGTTTAACCGCTCATTTACACAGCAATAGCAGTAAAATTCTATATTTAATGATGCATACATAATTTAATCAAATAAAGGCTCAAATCAAAAATATCATGTATCCTGCAAAGTGTGCATGCAGTGGCATAAATACTGGGGGGGTACAAGTGAGGCATTTGCACCGGTGCCCATGGTGAAGGGGCCCCAGACTGAATATTGATATAGACACTACTGTAAACCCACAACTCACAGAAATATCAAAATTCATAACAGCAATCACAGCTTCAATCACCACTACACAGCCTACTGACGTCTACGCATCTCCCTCCTGTTCATAATACCCACATCCACAGGAACCATTTTCAACAGACCCTTCACACCATGCAACACGATATATTCACTATTTATAACGCAAACATTTTAAACAGGTGGTGTAACGTAAACGTGGTGTGGCTCGAGAGCATAAACATCTTTAAGCCTGTAAGATCCTATTTATGCCATTGTGTGTACATTTGCTTCCTTGGCTGTACTTTCCACTGAGAATAAACTACAGTGTGTGCTGCAGTTCCATTAGGTTCAATGGGATTTTTGCCAACGTCCTGTACAGCTCGTCAATTCCTGACCACAGCAAAAACACCCTTGTGGGCGGAGCACAGAGAGGACGATTGTACAGGACAACAGAAGGGCTTCGGTCTGTAACTGTACACCTGGATAGTGAACCTACAAGGCAGGTGAAGCTCATAAAGTGGCCAGTGATTGTTTAGGGGTTAAAAAAGTGGCCAGAGGTAAAGGTGAGCGCAGGCGTCAGGCTGGCAGCCAAAATCAGTTAACTAAGCTATGAAGAAACATTATCTAACTGTTTCTGTGTGTATGAGGGTTTCGCTCCTCTCTCTCTCTCTCTCTCTCTCTCTCTCTCTCTCTCTCTCTCTCTCTCTCTCTCTCGTGTGAGAAAACAGGCTCGGTCACATTCCTCATCCCATCACCAACGGAACTCACGTGAACGCTCTCACACACATTCCCAACATTCCAACAACACAAGACAGCGAGGAGGAGACGAGCGTAGCAGTGCAGCCCTAAGAAAAAACAATAAATCTGGGCCGGCTCACCACAGCACGGCTACGCAGGACCCTCTGTTCACTACCCTGAAGCACTCATCAAATGTAAAGAGTGAGATACACAGAAAAAGATCACGAGTTTCAGAAACACGCGCACCGTTCAGTTATGATAGGCACCCACTTGTGTATCACACTAGTACTGTAGTAGTACATAAGTGAAGGCAATGATCGGCCACTTCAGTAAGTCCACCTCTTTATTTCCACACTCACTGTCCACTTTATCAGCTCCACTGACCACATAGTTTCACTCTATAGTTCTACAGTTACAGACTGTAGTCCATCTGTTTCTCTGTGTACTTTGGTACCCTGTTCTTCAGTGGTCAGGACCCCCCTGGACCCTCAATTGGTTAGGGGGTTCATTCTCAGCACTGCAGTAACACTGACGTGGTGGTGGTGTGTTAGCGTGTGTTGCGCTGGTCTGGAGTTTTTAAACACTGTGTCCACTCACTGTCCACTCTATTAGACACTTCTACCTTGTCAGTCCACCTTGTAGATGTGAAGTCAGTAGTAGCTGCTCTGTGAGGGTCCTGACCATTGAAGAACTGGTTGTAAGGGGACAATGAGTGTAGATACACTCGGAGGTACTTAATGTACTTAATGAAGTGGCCGATTTCATTGTTGAGAAGTAACAGCAAAAGGGAAAACTAATCTCCTCACAATAAGACAGAACACAGCAGTGAGAGAGAGAGAGGCGCTACAATTAGACTGAGAGTAATAAACATATTCTGATCCAACATATTCACTCATATAGTCATAACAAAATGTAACACTTTTTTAATGAATAAAAAACCTTGAGCAAGTAGGACAAATGTGATTAATCATAATGTACTTGCCTTCTTTTGTGTAGTTATCACAGTTAACTACTGTAATTGTTTGGCAGCCCTAATTTAGACCATACAGAGATGAACATAAACACTGTATACAGTTCCCGTATAGCTGTTGTTGTTGTTATTAACAAGTAGTTTGGACGACAGCTCACTGTGCTATTATATACTGTATTAACTGATAACACTTCACTGTAGAGTACTGTTCATTAGGCTACATGACACCTACATAAGCCTGTCATGACAAATGACGTAACTCTACATAAATGTTTATAAATGCTTAATCCAATAGTCGCCTTTTGCTATAATGGTTACATCTGCCAATTTTGATCAAAGTTAGCTGAAGTAGCCTTTATGACAGATGACACCTATCGGAATAAGCATTTTTACACATTGTGGAGGGTTACGTCAGTTTTTATGACAAGCTTATGTAGGTGTCATATAGCCTAATGAACAGAACCCTACACTAAATTGTCACCCTTTTGTTTGTTGTTTGTTCTGTGGTATTCCAGTCCTCAGAAAACAGAAATAGATCTGACCTTTCTCGCTAACGCTGATAGCATCAAGTCAGTATACATGGGTTATTTGTATCATTACAACTCAGGATATGTAGACAGCTCTGCCTACATGTCTATATCAGCTCTACATCAATATACAATACGTACATAAACACACACACACACACACACACACACACACACACACACACACACACACACCTCTGTAATGCTGGGATTCTACTTACATTCTAATACTAATCCCTCATCAATCACCTCTAGCTAGCACAAAGCTCACACACAGTAATTGTGTGTGTGTGTGTGTGTGTGTGTGTGTGTGTGTGTGTGTGTGTGTGTGTGAGAGAGAGAGAGATTACAGTACACTATTACTTTAGGTTCTTATTGCTGATGCCTGTGAAGCATTTTTAGTCTAAAATGCTTGCCTCTGTGTGTGTGTGTGTGTGTCTGTGGAGTGAGTGAGTGAGTGAGTAAGTGAAAGAGAGAGAGAGAGAGAGAGAGAGAGAGAGAGAGAGAGAGAGAGAGAGAGAGAGAGAAAGAGAGAGAGCACAGAGCTCCAGAACAGGAAATCACGCTCAAAAATTCCTCCTGGTGAGATCACCAGAACAGAGTGTGTCTATGCCAACACGGAAATCCAAAATCAACTGGATAAAAATAAGAAAGGAATTTATGAACATATCAGTGCTTTAGTGTGTGTTTATGAGGCAGATTTAATGGCTGAAACACACACACACACACACACACACACACACACACACACACACACAAAGGCAGACACACAGAGAAACACAACTAAACACAGTCACACACAGGGGCACAAAATATGAGTGTAACAATTAACTACATTTATAATTCAGTTCAATATGACGAGATACGACAGGGGTTTCTATTCAGTTCCTTTTTCTGATACAGCAAAACGAAGGAGTGTCTAAAAAGCCCATCACTGCTGTCGGAACAAAACCATTTTTGTCATTTTTCAGTTTTTGACATAGTTTGAAAAGACCTGTTGCCCATTACATTGTGTGTAAACTTCATGATGAATGGACCAAAAGAAACGACCCAAAACTACTTTGAAAAAACTCTGGTTCCATTGACTTACATGCAAAGTAAAGTATGTTTTTTCCTTCTCCTGTAAAGTTACCATTTTGGAGATATGCTGTTTTATTCCGACAACAGCGACATGTTTGTTTGTTCATGGATCCATTTTTCAGCTTATTAAAGTAAAACATTATAAAAGAACAAAAGTACACTATTTCTATAATGATGAACTTGGTAGAAGTCAATATGTTATTCCTCTGCTAATAAGCGCTTATGGGGGTGCTTTTCCTCCCCATTCTCTTCGTTAAGATAAAGAGAAAGTGAGGGTCAGCCTTCACTGTGGGCTTGTCTGTTTCATTTTTATACTTCATTCAATATAATCTATTAAACTGAGTATATAATTAGGTCCAGTCAGTTGAACGTATTGTTTGATGTCTGTGTGTATTGAACTGAGATGCTTTGCTTGGTTGTACTGTTACACTCCTAATATATTCATCACTGACCAAAGGAAAACAAGTATCATCACAAGGGTGACTTTACAGAAGAGGACCGTCTTTACTTTCAGTGTAAGCTGATGCAAAGAGATTTTATTGCAAGTAATTTTGGAGCATTTCTATTGGTCCATTCAGTATGAAATTTTACAGAATATAAAGGGCAGCTGTGCTCAAATGATGTAAAAAACTAAAACGTGAAAAAAACAGAGGTACTTGTTTTTTTTGCTTGGACAGTGATGATATAGACACGTAAACCAGGCTGAACGTCTGCCTCCACGGACGGCTGATCATTTCATGTAGGCGTTCTTTCTTTTCTCAATTAAGAGAGAGAGATAGAGAGAGAATCTGTGAACAACAAATAAGGTTATATTTCATTAAAAGTGAATAGATATGTGTGTGTGTGTGTGTGTGTGTGTGTGTGTGTGTGAGAG